AAAATTTTAAATGAAAAAAATCAACAAAATATCGGAAAATTGAAAAATCAAAAATGGAGAAATTGTACAACTAACATTGTGAAACATTGAAAAATTGGAAAGTCAAAAAATTGAAATTTCGAAAAATTTAATTACCGAAAAATCAAAAATATTTTAAATCTAAAAATTAGAAAACCGAAAACTCGAGAACACGAAACATCAAAAACTGAAAAATTTTAAAATTCTTTTTCTCGATCTGTAATTTTTTTTATGAAAGCTGAAATATGGAAAAATTTGAAAACATAAGAAAAATTGAAAAATCGCAACACTGAAACAGAAAAATTGAAAAACTGAGAAATCGGAAAGTCGAAAAATCGAAGTGAAAAATTCGAAAATCTAAAAAATCGAAAGACTGAAAAATCAAAAATGTAAAATTTAAAAAATCGTAAAACGAAAAAATAAAAAAAAATAGAAATCGACAGATCAAGACATCGAAATTAAAAAAATGAACTGAAAAATTGGAAAATCTAGAAATCGAAAATCCGAAAAATCGAAGAAAGCGAGAAAGAGAAAAATCAAACAAGGGGAAATCCAAAAACTGAAACATCAACAAACCGAAATACCAAAAAAAGATCGAGAAATTCAAAAGTGGAGAAGTCGAAAAATCCAAAAATTGGGAAAACGAAATAAACCAAAATCGAAAATTCTAAAAATTAAAAATTCAAAACTTGAAAAATTTTAAATGAAAAAAAATTGAAACATTTGGACACACTGAAAAATTGGAAAGTCCAAAAATTGAAATTTCGAAAAATTTAAAAACCGGAATCTCAAAAATTGTTTTAATCTAAAAATTAAAAAACCGAAAACTCGAAAATCGAGAACACGAAACATCAAAAAAAGTTGAAAAATCGAAAAGTCGAAACTTTTTTCTCGATCTGTAATTATTATTTTTTTATGAAAGCTGAGATATGGAAAATTTTAAAAATATAAAAAAACTGAAAAATCGCAACACTGAAGCATGGAAAAATTGAAAAACTGAGAAATCGAAAAGTCGAAAATTTAAGAAATCGAAAAATTGAAAAATCAAAAATGTAAAAAAATAAGCATTGAAAAGAAACTACATAAAACGAAAGGGATAAAAAAGCGAGTGTCAAAAATGACCAAACGAGTGATTAAAATGAGTGTAAAAAAAATAAATGACGCCATCAAGAGCTACAGTAAAAACGAAAAATTGGTCTAAAGAGTTTAGACAGTACTTCCCTCGCTGTCGGAAACTTGACGACTGTATGGCTATTGTGTTTTTTTCTCATTACATTTTTGTAGTGGGAATTTAAAATTGCGATGACGTCATCAACATTTTTGCAAGGACACGGATATCAGTTGGGATAGATGTAGTGTAATACTAAGAATAAAATTATTGTATTCCCAAATTTTCGGGAAAATGAATTGGGTCGTTTTGAATATTGATTTTTTATAATCAATAAAATAACGAAACAATTTACTCACGTATACGGCAACTGAAAATCGTTTATGTATAAACATTCTTAATTTAAGATGACAAGCGTAACAGCATACGTGAGAGCCAAACAGAGAAACTGTAAACAAAACGACCATCGGTTTTATTGCTTCGACTTCCGCTTATTATATAAAACATTGGGTTTTATTTTAATTCTTGACGGTGAAATTCAGAATTGGTTGATTATAAACATGTCTATTTCACATTCGCGGAACCAAGTGAACAAATGCAGGTCTGTAATGTTAAAGTCGATGTAAATAAGCGTGCTACCCTTATGTTTCAACCGAGTTTTTCCTTTAACAAATTTTGTGTCTACCAAATTGGGTTGGTTGGGGTGTAATACTAATAATAAGTGTTGCCTTTAATTTAATCAATAAAATAAATTGACTTCATTAATTTTTTTTGAACCACCTCTTAAGAAAATCTAAAAAATATGAATGGAATGATAAATCACAAGTACAAACTCATCATATTTTTTGCATTTTAGATAGGATTTATTCAGCAAAATTTAAGGGTGACGTCATCAATTTTTTTAGGAGGGATGAACAAATACATTTTGAACAAAAGTTTACCATGCTTATAATAACTTTAAAATATTCCCAAGATTTCAAAGCATTCGGTTTTCTAATTCCTGATTAAATCGATAAAATAAATTCACGCCTTCATTAATTTTTTTGAGTCACCCTGCATATGCAAATCCAAAAATATGATTGGAATGATAAATCACAAGTACAGACTCATCATATTTTGTACATTTTAGATACGATTTATTCGGCAAACTTTTGAGCTGACGTCATCAGTTTTTTGTAGAAGATAACCAAATATATTTTGACTAAAAATTTATTATGCTCTTTATAACCTTAAAACATCTGCAAGATTTCAAAGCATTCGGTTTTGTAGTTCCTGATTAAATCAATAAAATAAATTTACGCATTCATTAATTTTTTTGAGTCACCCTGTATATGCAAATCGAAAAAATTTGAATGGAATGATAAATCACAAGAAGAGACTCACCATATTTTGTACATTTTAGATAGGATTTTTTCAGCAAAATTTTGTGGTGACATCATAAATTTTTTAGGGAGGACGACCAAATGCGTTTTGATCAAAAATTTACCATGCTTATGATAATTTTAAAATATCTTCAAGATTTCGAAGCATTCGGTTTTGTAGTTCCTGAGTAAATCAGTAAAATAAATTTACGCTTTCATTTATTTTCTTGAATCACGCTGTATATGCAAATCCAAAAAATATGAATGGAGTGATAGATCACAAGTACAGACTGATCATATGTTGTACATTTTAGATATGATTTATTCGGCAAATTTTCGAGCTGACGTCATCAAGTTTTTGGAGGGGATAAGCAAATATATTTTGACTAAACATTTATTATGCTCTTTATAACCTTAAAACATCTGCAAGATGTCAGAGCATTCCGTTTTGTAGTTCCTGATTAAATCAATAAAATATATTTGCGCATTCATTAATTTTTTTGAGTCACTCTGTATATGCAAATCCAAAAAATATGAATGGAGTGATAAATGACAAGTACAGGCTCATCATATTTTGTACATTTTAGATATGATTTATTCGGCAAACTTTCGAGCTGACGTCATCAAGTTTTTGGAGGGGATAAGCAAATATATTTTGACTAAACATTTATTATGCTCTTTATGACCTTAAAACATCTGCAAGATTTCAGAGCATCCGGTTTTGTAGTTCCTGATTAAATCAATAAAATATATTTACGCATTCATTAATTTTTTTGAGTCACCCTGTATATGCAAATCCAAAAAATATGAATGGAGTGATAGATCACAAGTACAGACTCATCATATTTTGTACATTTTAGATATGATTTATTCCACAAACTTTTGAGCTGACGTCATCAAGTTTTTGGAGGGGATAAGCAAATATTTTTTGACTAAAGATTTATGATGCTCTTTATAGCCTTAAAACATCTGCAACATTTCAAAGCATTCTGGTTAGCAGATTAAAAATTAAATTTCAAAATGTTGTTTTATAATTTTTATTTTTTTTTCAAAAATCTGGACGTTTCGGGTGAAAAGTCGATTCAGAGTTGTAAACTACATGTGTAGGACTATGTTATTTTATACAATTGAAAACCCATTTACTATGTACAATTTTGAAGTGACGTCATCGCATTAGTGGTGGGGACGATTAGACAAATTTTGGTTAGCGTTTTACCATCTACATGATATTCTTAATATAAGTACAAAATTTCACAACAATCGGTCGAGTACTTTCGGAGATTATCTGTCTAATAAAAATCCGGGACAACAGACGGACAGACGGACAGACGGACAGACGGACGGACGGACAGACGGACAGACGGACAGACAGACGGAAATGGGAGACCTATTTCTTCGTCTTCTAGGGGTCATGAAAGATCGAGAAAACGTAAAAGTAGAGAGTCGGCCGACGGACTCGATTACAATACTTCCTTTGCTTACGCTCGGGAAGTAAAAATAAATATTTATGGAAAAAGTGGTACCATAATTATACATCGACCCACCATTTCTTTAATAAATCACCCAAACTAGCCTTAAAAAATTCGACAATAAATCACACCAGAAAATAGAAACCCAAATTCCATTTACAATTACTAATTAAAGCTAAAAATGCCCACGTACAGTTTTTTATTGGCCATAAAATGATTTACTTGTAGCAAACAATTGTTACTTCGAAATTGGTGCAAACACGCAAATGCGTAATTAAAATTCGTCGACTGACTAATCCTCAAGGGGCGTCCGAGCCGTGCGTGTCCCGCAAACCCAGACCCGGCGCCGCCTCTGCCAACACATTTGCAGCAAATCGAGCACGACAAAAATAAACAATGCAATCTTCGATTTATCTCACAATAAACAATCGACTTTGAGCGCGCCATAAAGGCGCGTTTTATCGCTAAATCTCAATAAAAATTAACTGCGATAAGTTTAAAGTGATACAAAACTGTGTGCGTCAGTTTTTCTACCATAAACGACCGGAAACAAGGCCCAAACTGACTCAACGTTGGCAGAAATAATTCTCTTAACAACCTTGACGCATCTGAGTCCTCAAATGCAAATAGTGTGATAAGTAAGAATAATTCTGTATGAATCATGCAAGTAGGCAGACGCCGAATAGAAAAATGGAACAAATCACGTCCAAAGCCAGTTTTTCGCATTTATTTAGCCAAATCGTGGGTCAAGTGAGAGTAAAAAGTGGCAAAATTAGGCACAAGGCCGCTGCATCGTGACTAACGCTAGAAAACTATTGAATAACTTTTTTTGCGCTCGCTGATTTCCGCCCCAGCTATTACCAAATGCAACAAATCGCGGCTCGGAACGAAAGCGAAAAATTCGGAAACGTTGTTTCGTCGATAGATCGGCGCGTGCACACACCGTGTAAATATTATAATAATACAACTTTCACGGATTTCTCAACACGCCAGAAATATGAATGACTGCGTTTTTCTATAAATAAAAAACGGCGATTGTTGTACCTTTGGCGCTTCCGTGGCTGAGCTTGCGTTTTTTGAGGTAGTAGATGGTCTGCTCCACTTCGGAGACCCTCGAATGGTGGATCAAGTCGCACTGGTACACCACCTCCTTGGCCAGAGCATAGCAATCAGTGCGGCTGTTTAGCATGGGCAGTTCGATGATCTTCTTCAAGTTCTGCAACACAGCGTTACCCCACGTGCTGTTATCGCCAACTACCCACCTTTTTCTCCCCGTAGATGACGTTCTCTTTGGCCCCCAGGATCTGGACGTCGATTTCGTAGTTGAGCACGATCGCGTTGAGGCTCGGGTGCACGTCCAGAGTCCCCGGCTTGCGCTCCCTGCAACAAACCCGTCCTTATTCGCCCCGTTTTTAATTTATTTCAATTACTCACGTCCTCATATACTTAGCTTCGTCCGGATCCATCTCGTAAAACACTCTACACGCGATGTACACGAAATACGCACCAATCAGAAAAACGATCACTAACCCTGATAACGCATTGATAATAATTAACATCAACCGAATTAAATTTGTGCATTATTAGAAAATTTGATTGTTGACATTTTGAGTTGGTTGATACCGCGCGCACCCATCTTGAAATCAATACCAACCGACCAATCGGCAGCCCGCATTCGCGCCAATCGCGACACAGTGTCGGCGCACACGTCAAACGAAAAGCGCGCGCAATTTTCAAACCGCCGTCTTATCAATTGGAGATAATTGAGATAAGTGCGATAAAGTTGTTTATGTAACAAGTGGCGTTATGGCGGGCGGCGCGCGAGTTGTGGTGGACGTGGACGTGGGCACTGACGACTATTTAGCGCTTTTGGTTCTCCTCCATGCCGACGGACGTGGGGATATCAAGATCGAGGGAATCGTTTGCACCGCAGGGAATACGACTATAGAAAACGTCTGCGTTAACGTGGTGCGGCTGCTGGAGACGGTGGGGAGGACCGACGTAAGTTGATGAGGCAGGGCCGGGCTGGCTCGATGTGTGCTGTGTTGCAGATACCGGTTTGGAGGGGCGCCGGCCGGCAGTTCATTCCGATCGCGGAAGGGATTGATTCGAATTTTCACGGGGCCGATGGGTTCGGGGGGCTGGAGTACGAGACGCAGCCGGATGTGAGTGTGATCAGGAAGGGGCCGGCGGCGGCGGCGGTCGCCGATTTGGTGCTGAGGAATCCTGGTGAGATCACGCTGATTTGTTTGGCGCCGTTGACGAATTTGGCGCTTTCGCTGCGGTTGTATGATGATTTTGCGGGGGCGATTAAGGAGCTTTGGATTATGGGGGGCAACTACACAGGTGCGTATTTGAAGATTATTTAATTTAATGAACCTTGGTGTATTGTGTGTGGTTTTTTGAAAAAAAAAAAATCTGTAATCCTTTGCGTGTTATGTTTTTGAAGAATCTAAAGAAAATTAGAAATCCTTGCTGTTATTTTTTGAAAAGAATTTAAAACAAAATTAGGATCCGGGAGTGTTGTTTCTTAAAAAAAAAGGGATGCCCCCTTTGGAAATTTTTAAAAAATCTTTGAAACTTTTTTGAAGAATTTAATACAGCCTTGGGAATTTCTGGAGTGTTATTTTTTGAAGAATTTATAAGAACTTACGAGTCCCTGATGTGCTATTTTCTGAAAAATGCACAAGAAATTTTGGGATCCCATGGGTGTTATTTTTTGAAGAATTTCAAAGAACCTTTGTAAGTCCTTGTGTGTTCATTTTTGAAGAATTTAATACAGCCTTAGTGATCCCTGGTGTGCAAATTTTTTTTTGAAAAATTTAATAGAACCTTAGATATCCCTTGTATGTTATTTTCTGAAGATATTAAATTCTTCAGAAAATTCTTTGCGATTTTTTTTGGAGAATTTAAAGGACCTTAGTAATCCCTTGTGTTAGTTTTTAAGAGATCTAGAGGAAAATTAGAGATTTCTGCTGTTAGTTTCTGAAGCATTTAACACAGCCTTAGGGATCCCTGGAGTGTTATTTTTTGAAGAATTTAAAAGAATCTTAGGAGTCCCTGGTGTATTATTTGAAAAATTTACAAGAAACTGTGGGACACCTGGGGTGTTATTTTTTGTGGAACCTTTGTAATTCCTTGTGTTATTTTTTGAAAAATTTAATAGAAAATTCGAGATTTCTGCTGTGTAATTTCGTGACGAATTCAACAGAGCCTTGGGAATCCCAAGAGTCTTATTTTTTGAAAATTTTAAAAGAATCTTATGGGTCCCTGGTGTGTCATTTTCTGAAGAATTAATTAAGAAAGTTGGGAATCCCTTGTGTTAATCTTTTAATCTAAAAGAAAATTGGAGATTTCTGTTATTTTCTGAAAGATTTAACAGAGCTTTAAGGATCCATTCTGCCTTGTTTTTTGGAGATTTTAAAAGAACCTTAGTAATGCCATATTATTTTTCGAAGATTTTTTTTTAAATTAGGCATCCCTTGGGTGTTATTTTTTGAAGAATTTAATAGAAAATTCGAGATTTCTGCTGTGTTATTTCGTGACGAATTTAACAGACCCTTAGGGATCCCAGGAGTGTTATTTTTTGAAGGTTTTAAAAGAATCTTAGGAGTCTAGTGTTATTTTCTGAAGAATTTATCAAAGCTCAGGAGCGTTATTTTTTGAAAGTTTTAAAAGAATCTTAGGGTTCCCTGGTGTGTTATTTTCTGAAGAATTTACAAGAAAGTTCTGAATCCCTTGCGTGTTAATCTTTTAATCTAAAAGAAAATTAGAGATTTCTGTTATTTTCTGAATGATTTAACAGAGCCTTAAGGATCCATTCTGCCTTGTTTTTTGAAGATTTTACAAGAACCTTAATAATCCCGTGTTATTTTCTGAAGATTTTTTTTTTTTAAATTAGGCATCCCTTGGGTGTTATTTTTTGAAGAATTTAATAGAAAATTCGTGATTTCTGCTGTGTTATTTCCTGAAGAATTTAACAGAGTGTTAGGGATCCCAGGAGTGTTATTTTGCAGATTTTAAAAGAATCTTAGGAGTCTCTGGTGTTACTTTCTGAAGAATTTATCAAAGCATTAGGAATCCCAGGGGTGTAATTTTTTGAAAGTTTTAAAAGGATCTTAGGGGTTCCCTGGTGTGTTATTTTCTGAAGAATTTACAAGAAAGTTCTGAATCCCTTGCGTGTTAATCTTTTAATCTAAAAGAAAATTGGAGATTTCTGTTATTTGCTGAATGATTTAACAGAGCCTTAAGGATCCATGCTGGCATGTTTTTTGAAGATTTTGCAAGGACCTTAGTAATTCCGTGTTACTTTTTCAAGAATTTTTTTGAAAATTAGGCATCCCTTGGGTGCTATTTTTTGAAGAATTTAATAGAAAATTCGTGATTTCTGCTGTGTTATTTCCTGAAGAATTTAACAGAGTATTAGGGATCCCAGGAGTGTTAGTTTTTGAAGATTTTAAAAGGATCTTAGGAGTCTCTGGTGTTATTTTCTGAAGAATTTATCAAAGCATTAGGAATCCCAGGAGGGTTATTTTTTGAAAGTTTTAAAATAATCTTAGGGGTTCCCTGGTGTGTTATTTTCTGAAGAATTTACAAGAAAGTTCTGAATCCCTTGCGTGTCAATCTTTTAATCTAAAAGAAAATTAGAGATTTCTGTTATTTTCTTAATGATTTAACATAGCCTTAAGGATCCATGCTGCCTTGTTTTTTGAAGATTTTACAAGACCCTTAGTAATTCCGTGTCACTTTTTCAAGAATTTTTTTGAAAATTAGGCATCCCTTGGGTGCTATTTTTTGAAGAATTTAATAGAAAATTCGTGATTTCTGTTGTGTTATTTCCTGACGAATTTAACAGAGTATTAGGGATCCCAGGAGTGTTATTTTTTGAAGATTTTAAAAGAATCTTAGGAGTCTGGTGTTATTTTGTGAAGAATTTATCAAAGCCTTAGGAATCCCAGGAGTGTTATTTTTTGAAAGTTTTAAAAGAATCTTAGGGGTTACCTGGTGTGTTATTCTCTGAAGAATTTACAAGAAAGTTCTGAATCCCTTCTGTGTTAATCTTTTAATCTAAAAGAAAATTAGATATTTCTGTTATTTTCTGAATGATTTAACAGAGCCTTAAGGATCCATGCTGCCTTGTTTTTTGAAGATTTTACAAGACCCTTAGTAATTCCGTGTCACTTTTTCAAGAATTTTTTTGAAAATTAGGCATCCCTTGTAGGCTATTTTTTGAAGAATTTAATAGAAAATTCGTGATTTCTGCTGTGTTATTTCCTGAAGAATTTAACAGAGTATTAGGGATCCCAGGAGTGTTATTTTTTGAAGATTTTAAAAGAATCTTAGGAGTCTCTGGTGTTATTTTCTGAAGAATTTATCGAAGCATTAGGAACCCCAGGAGTGTTATTTTTTGAAAGTTTTAAAAGAATCTTAGCGGTTCCCTGGTGTGTTATTTTCTGAAGAATTTACAAGAAAGTTCTGAATCCCTTGTGTGTTAATCTTTTAATCTAAAATAAAATTAGATATTTCTGTTATTTTCTGAATGATTTAACAGAGCCTTAAGGATCCATGCTGCCTTGTTTTTTGAAGATTTTGCAAGAACCTTAGTAATTCCGTGTTATTTTCTGAAGATTTTTTTTTTAAATTAGGCATCCCTTGGGTGTTATTTTTTGAAGAATTTTATAGAAAATTCGAGATTTCTCCTGTGTTATTTCGTGACGAATTTAACAGAGCCTTAGGGATCCCAGGAGTGTTATTTTTTTAAGGTTTTAAAAGAATCTTAGGAGTCTGGTGTTATTTTCTGAAGAATTTATCAAAGCCTTAGGAATCCCAGGAGTGTTATTTTTTGAAAGTTTTAAAAGAATCTTAGGGGTTCCCTGGTGTGTTATTTCTGAAGAATTTACAAGAAAGTTCTGAATCCCTTGTGTGTTTTTTTTTTAATCTAATAGAAAATTGGAGATTTCTGTTATTTTCTGAATGATTTAACAGAGCCTTAAGGATCCATGCTGCCTTGTTTTTTGAAAATTTTACAAGAACCTTAGTAATCCCGTGTTATTTTCTGAAGATTTTTTTTTAAATTAGGCATCCCTTGGGTGTTATTTTTTGAAGAATCTAATAGAAAATTGGAAATTTCTGCTGTGTTATTTCTTGCCGAATTTAACAGAGCCTTAGGGATCCCAGAAGTGTTATTTTTTGAAGGTTTTAAAAGAATCTTAGGGGTCCCTGGCGTGTTATTTTCTGAAGAATTTACAAGAAAGTTAGGAATCTCTAGTGTGTTTGTTATATTTTGAAGAATCTAAAAGAAAATTAGATTTCTGTTGTTATTTTCTGAACAATTTAAAAGAGTCTTAGGAATCCCTGGAATGTTATTTTTTGAGGGTTTTTAAAGAATATTAGAAGTCCCTGATGTGTTATTTTCTGGAGAATTTAACAGAGCCCTAGGGATCTCAGGAGTGTTATTTTTTCAAGGTTTTAAAAGAATCTTAGGGATCCCTGGCATATTATTTTCTGAAGAATTTACAAGAAAGTTAGGGATCTCTAGTGTGTTATATTTTGAAGAATCTAAAAGAAAATTAGATTTCTGTTGTTATTTCCTGAACAATTTAAGAGTCTTAGGAATCCCTGGAATGTTATATTTTGAGGGTTTTTAAAGAATATTAGAAGTCCCTGATGTGTTATTTTCTGAAGAATTTAACAGAGCCTTAGGGATCTCACGAGTGTTATTTTTTGAAGGTTTTAAAAGAATCTTAGGGTTCCCTGGCGTGTTATTTTCTGAAGAATTTACAAGAAAATTAGGGATCTCTAGTGTGTTATTTTTTGAAGAATCTAAAAGAAAATTAGAGATTTCTGTTGTTATTTTCTGAACAATTTAAAAGAGTCTTAGGGATCCCTGGAATATTATTTTTTGAAGGTTTTTAAAGAATACTAGGAGTCCCTGATGTGTTAATATCTGGAGAATTTAACAGAGCCTTAGGGATCCCAGGAGAGTTAATTTTTGAAGGTTTTAAAAGAATCTTAGGTGTCCCTGGCGTATTGTTTTCTGAAGAATTTACAAGAAAGTTAGGGATCGCTAGTGTGTTATTTTTTGAAGAATCTAAAAGAAAATTAGAGATTTCTGTTGTTATTTTCTGAACAATTTAATAGAGTCTTAGGGATCCCTGGAATGTTATTTTTTTAGTGTTTGTAAAGAATATTACTAGTCTCTGATGCGTTATTTTCTGAAGAATTTAACAGAGCCTTAGGGATTCCAGGAGTGTTATTTTTTGAAGGTTTTAAAAAAATCTTAGGGGTCCCTGGCGTGTTATTTTCTGAAGAATTTACAAGAAATTTAGGGATCTCTAGTGTGTTATTTTTTGAAGAATCTAAAAGAAAATTCGACATTTCTGTTGTTACTTTCTGAACAAATTAAAAGAATCTTAGGAATCCCGGGGATGTTATTTTCTGAAGGTTTTTAAAGAATATTAGGAGTCCCTGATGTGTTATTTTCTGAAGAATTTACAAAAAAGTTCTGAATCCCTTGTATCCTAATCTTTTAATCTAAAAGAAAATTGGAGATTTCTGTTATTTTCTGAATGATTTAACAGAGCCTTAAGGATACATTCTGCCTTGTTTTTTGAAGATTTTACAAGAACCTTAGTAATCCCGTGTTATTTTCTGAAGATTTTTTTTTTAAATTAGGCATCCCTTGGGTGTTATTTTTTGAAGAATTTAATAGAAAATTCGAGATTTCTGCTGTGTTATTTCGTGACGAATTTAACAGGGCCTTAGGGATCCCAGGAGTGTTATTTTTTGAAGGTTTTAAAAAGAATCTTTGGGATCCCTGGCGTGTTATTTTCTGAAGAATTTGCAAGAAAATTAGGGATTTCTAGTATGTTCATTTTTGAGGAATCTAAAAGAAAATTAGACATTTCTGTTGTTATTTTCTGAACAAATTAAGAGTCTTAAGAATCCCGGGGATGCTATTTTCTGAAGGTTTTAAAAGAATCTTAGGGGTCCCTGGCGTGTTATTTTCTGAAGAATTTACAAGAAAGTTAGGGATCTCTAGTGTGTTATATTTTGAAGAATCTAAAAGAAAATTAGATTTCTGTTGTTATTTTCTGAACAATTTAAAAGAGTCTTAGGAATCCCTGGAATGTTATTTTTTGAGGGTTTTTAAAGAATATTAGGAGTCCCTGATGTGTTATTTTCTGAAGAATTTAACATAGCCTTAGGGATCTCAGGAGTGTTATTTTTTGGAGGTTTTAAATTAATCTTAGGGATCCCTGGCGTGTTATTTTCTGAAGAATTTACAAGAAAATTAGGGATCTCTAGTGTGTTATTTTTTGAAGAACCTAAAAGAAAATTAGACATTTCTGTTGTTATTTTCTGAACAAATTAAAAGAGTCGTAGGAATCCCGGGGATGTTATTTTCTGAAGGTTTTTAAAGAATATTAGGAGTCCCTGATGTGTTATTTTCTGAAGAATTTAACAGAGCCTTAGGGATCCCAGGAGTGTTATTTTTTTAAGGTTTTAAACGAATCTTAGGGGTCCCTGGCGTGTTATTTTCTGAGGAATTTACAAGAAAATTAGGGATTTCTAGTGTGTTATTTTTTGAAGATTCTAAAAGAAAATTAGACATTTCTGTTATTTTCTGAACAAATTAAAAGAGTCTTAGGAATCCCGGGGATGTTATTTTCTGAAGGTTTGTAAAGAATATTAGGAGTCCCTGATGTGTTATTTTCTGAAGAATTTAACAAAGCCTTAGGGATCCCAGGAGTGTTATTTTTTTAAGGTTTTAAACGAATCTTAGGGGTCCCTGGCGTGTTATTTTCTGAAGAATTTACAAGACATTTAGGAATCTCTAGTGTGTTATTTTTTGAAGAATCTAAAAGAAAATTAGAGATTTCTCTTGTTATTTTCTGAACAATTTAATAGTCTTAGGGATCCCTGGGATGTTGTTTGATGAGGGTTTTTAAAAAATATTAGGAGGTCCTGATATGTTATTTTCTGAAGAATTTAACAGAGCCTTAGGGATCCCAGGAGTGTTATTTTTTTAAGGTTTTAAACGAATCCTAGGGGTCCCTGGCGTGTTATTTTCTGAAGAATTTACAAGAAAGTTAGGGATCTCTAGTGTGTTATTTTTTGAAGAATCTAAAAGAAAATTAGAGATTTCTCTTGTTATTTTCTGAACAATTTAATAGTCTTAGGGATCCCTGGGATGTTGTTTGATGAGGGTTTTTAAAAAATATTAGGAGGTCCTGATATGTTATTTTCTGAAGAATTTAACAGAGCCTTAGGGATCCCAGGAGTGTTATTTTTTTAAGGTTTTAAACGAATCCTCGGGGTCCCTGGCGTGTTATTTTCTGAAGAATTTACAAGAAAGTTAGGGATCTCTAGTGTGTTATTTTTTGAAGAATCTAAAAGAAAATTAGAGATTTCTGTTGTTATTTTCTGAACAATTTAACAGAGCCTTAAGGATCCATGCTGCCTTGTTTTTTGAAGATTTTAAAAGAACGTCAGTAATCCCGTGTTATTTTTTGAAGAATTTTCAAAAAAATTAGGCATCCCTTCTGTGTCAATTTTTAAAGAATTTAAAAGAACCTTTATAATCCCTTGGGTGTCATTTTTTAAAGAATCTAATGGAAAATTGGAGATTTCTGGTGTGTTATGTCCCGAAGAATTTAACAGAGCCTTAGTGATCCCAGGAGTGTTAATTTTTGAAGGTTTTAAATGAATCTTAGGGATCTTTGGTGTGTTATTTTCTGAATAATTTAACAGAGCCTTAGGATCCCTGCCGCGTTGTTTCTTGAAGGTTTTAAAAGAAAAAGAACCTTAGTAATCTCTTGTGTTATTTGTTAAAAAAATCTAAAAAAATCTTAGGAGCCGTATTGTGTTATTTTCTGAAGAATTTACAAGAATTTTATGGACTTCTTGTGTTACTTTTTGATGAATTTAAAACAACCTTGTGTGTTATTTTTTGATGAATTGAAAAGGACCTCAAAGGTTTTTGGTATGCTATGTTTCGAAGGATTTAAAAGAAAATTAAAACATTTTGTGATGACGTCATCAATTTTTTGGACGGCATGGAACCATGTTTTTCGTCTGTACAATCAAAGTAATCAATGATCTGTTAACAAAATCGCTAATAGACCAACATTTTCGTATTCTACAAACTACTAATACATAATTATACGTTTCAGCTTGCGGCAATGTTACGTCCACCGCAGAATTCAACTTCTACTTCGACCCAGAAGCCGCCTTCATCGTTCTCGAATCGATAACAAAGCCCATTTTCATCCTAACATGGGAAACCTGCCTCTATCCCAAAATACCAATGGTACGTTCTAAAACCCCATCACCCTCCACTAACCACCCTTTTCCAGGACTGGCGCTTCAACGTCTTTGGAGTCAAAAACAACCCCGCAATCCAACTGTTAACGAAAGCCGACCGCAACATTTACCGCAAGAGCGACTTCTGGCTCCCCTGTGACGCCTTCCTCGCGGCCGCTTTCGTCAACCCCAGCAAGATAATCACGAAAACCAGCCGCCACAACGCCAGCATCGAGCTCCACGGGTCCCAAACCCGCGGCCAGGTGGTCCTCGACCACTCCAAAACCAAAAAAGAAAACGTAACAATAATCGAGCAAATCAACACCGAGCTCTTCCAGGAAATGCTAATGCAACTGTAACTCATAACTAACTGATATTTTATTCAAAACAATAATAATATACATCATTACACTTAACAAAAACCCCTACTTGGTTCACGACCCCGCCTAATACTCCGGAATGTGCAAATACTTATTGCTTTTGACTGCTGCTCTCCTCGGGAGTCGAGTTCGACTCCTGCATCTGCTTTCGAATCTCCCGGTTCGATTGCAACAATACTAGAAGTTGCGCGTGAATGTCGTCATTTTTTTGCTCGATGTCATCTAGCGCCGAGTTTAGGGCGTCCAGTTGACTGTCGAGCATCTGGAATTCTTTTCGTGGCTCAGTTGCCCCTTGGGGCCTTGGAATGGAGGAGGTAACCTACCTTCTGGGGAGATGTCGTCCAAGTCGTCGTCTGCGGCCTCCTCGGGGTCGGAAGGCATGTCGTCGTCGGAGCTGGCTCCGGGGGGGCGCGGGACGCCGTTCTCTTGGGGGTGGTGTGCTTTTTCGCCCATTTTTTCACAGTTTTGGAACTGTTGTTGGGTCATGAGACACTTTTGACAGACAACTTGTCGGAGACAAGGTCGCAACTGTCAAAGTGGAATGTGGAGTATAACGGGTTGCCTACTCCGAGGAATATATATGGGGAGTTGTTTCAAAGGGGTTTCGGAGCCCAATTCTCTTGGAGGTGGTGTGTTTTCCCACATTTTCTCTAGTTTTGTGGTTGTTGTTTTGTCGTAGTACACTTTCAACAATTTTGACAAATAAGGACCGCGTTGTCAGGATTGGTGTATAACGGGTTGCCTAGTCATGTAAATAATAATAAAAATAAATGTGATCTTTTCACTGACGTAACCAGTTGCCTGCAGAGAACGACTAAATAATTTTCGAATAATATTTTGCAGTTCTTGGCTTTAAATATGTCTAAATTTTTTTGACTTAGTAAAAAAATACTAAATTTGTGGTGTTTTAACTTGCAGAGAAGCACGTCGCTAACATCAGACATTCGTTAATTATCTTTTTACGGTTCTGTTTTAAATTAAATTTGTGAAGACTACTATACGTTTTTTTTAAGTATAGATTATAGAAAGTCTTTTGAAACACAATTTAAAAAAAAATTGGGGGTTCCGGATGTGTCATTTTTTAAATAATTTAATAGAACATTTGAGGTATCTAGATTTTTGACGAAGAGTATAAAAAACCTTAAGGATTTCTTGTGTTATTTTTGATGAATTTAAAAGAATCTTAGGACCCCCTGGTGTTTTGTTTTTTGAAGAATGTAAAACCATTTTGGGATTTCCGGATGTGTTATCTTTTGAGAACTTTAAAAGAACCTTATGACTTCCTGGTGGTTTATTTTTTGAAGAACTGAGAAGAATTTTTGAGGTCTTTGGTGTGTCCTGTTTGAAATAATATGAAACAATTTTGGAGGACCTTGGTGTTTTATTGTTGAACGAATCTGGAGGATTCTTGGTGTATAGTTTTAAGCAGAATTTCAAGGAACCTTAGATCTTAGTGTGTAGTCTTTGAAAGAATCTTGGGGGTCTCTAGTGTATCGTTTTTGAAGAATTTAAAAGAACCCTGGGTGCCCCTGGTCTGCTATTTTTTGAAGAATTTAGAAGAATTTTGGGACTTCCGGACTTGCTATCTTTCAAGAAATTCAAAAGAATCTTAGGAGTTCCCAGTGCTTTATTTTTTTGAAGAACTGAGAATAATCTTTAAGATCTATAGTGTGTCCTTTTTGAAAGAATATGAAACAATTTGGAGGACCTTGGTGTTCTATTCTTGAACGAATTTAAAAAAACCTTGAGGATTCTTGGTATGTTGTTTTAAGTAGAACTTCAAGGAACCCTAGAGACCTTAGTGTTTTGTTTTTGAAAGAATCTTGGGGGTTTTTGGTTTTTTGTCTTTAAAAGAATATAGAAGAACCTTAGGAGTCCTTAGTATATCGTTTTTGAAGAATTTAAAAGAACCTTGGGTGCCCCTGGTGTGTTATTTTTTGAAGAATTTGGAAGACACTTTGGGGTCTCGATTGTGTTGTTTTTTGAAGAATTTAGAAGAATTTTGGGACTTCCGGACTTGTTATCTTTCAAGAAATTTAAAAGAACCTTAGGAGTTCCCGGTGCTTTATTTGTTTGAAGAACTGAGAATAATCTTTAAGATCTTTAGTGTGTCCTTTTTGAAAGAATATGCAACAATTTGGAGGACCTTGGTGTTTTATTCTTGAACGAATTTAAAAAACCTTGAGGATTTTTGCTATGTTGTTTTAAGCAGAACTTCAAGGAACCCTAGAGACTTTAGTGTGTTGTTTTTGAAAAAATCTTGGGGGTTCTTGGTTTTTTGTCTTTAAAAGAATATAGAAGAACCTTAGGAGTCTTTAGTATATCGTTTTTGAAGAATTTAAAAGAACCTTGGGTGGCCCCAGGTGTGTTATTTTTTGAAGAATTTGGAAGACATTTTGGGATCTCGATTGTGTTGTTTTTTGAAGAATTTAGAAGAATTTTGGGACTTCCGGACTTGTTATCTTTCAAGAAATTTAAAATAACCTTAAGAGTTCCCGGTGCTTTATTTGTTTGAAGAACTGAGAATAATCTTTAAGATCTTTAGTGTGTCCTTTTTGAAAGAATATGAAACAATTTGGAGGACCTTGGTGTTTTACTCTTGAACGAATTTAAAAGAGCCTTAGGATTCTTGGTGTGTTGTTTTAAGCAGAATTTCGAGGAAACTTAGGGATCTTTGTGCATAGTTTTTGAAAGAATCTTGGGGGTTCTTGATGTGTTGTCTTTAAAAGAATATAGAAGAACCTTAGGAGTCCCTAGTATATCGTTTTTGGAGAATTTAAAGGAACTTGGGGTGCTCCTGGTGCGTTATATTTTGAAGAATTTCGAAGAAACTTTGGGATCTCGAGTGTGTTGTTTTTTGAAGAATTTAAAAGAATTTTGGGACTTCCAGATGTGTTATCTTTTGAGAAATTTAAAGGAACCTTAGGAGTTCCCGATGCTTTATTTTTTGAAGGACTGAGAAGAATCTTTGAGGTTCTTAGCGTGTCCTTTTTGAAAGAATGTGAAAGAATTTTGGAGGACCTTGGGGTTTTATTTTTGAACGAATTTAAAAGAGCCTTAGGATTCTTAGTGTGTTGTTTTAAGCAGAATTTCGAGGAAACGTAGGGATCTTAGTGCATAGTTTTTGAAAGAATCTTGGGGTTTCTTGGTGTGTTGTCTTTAAAAAATATAGAAGAAACTTAGGAGTCCCTAGTATATCGTTTTTGGAGAATTTAATGGAACCTGGGGTGCTTCTGGTGCGTTATACTTTGAAGAATTTCGAAGAAACTTTGGGATCTCGAGTGTGTTGTTTTTTAAAGAATTTAAAAGAATTTTGGGACTCCCGGATGTGTTATCTTTTGAGAAATTTAAAAGAACCTTAGGAGTTCCTGATGCTTTATTTTTTTTGAAGGACTGAGAAGAATCTTTGAGGTCCTTAGCGTGTCCTTTTTGAAAGAATGCGAAAGAATTTTGGAGGACATTGGGGTTTTATTTTTGAACGAATTTAAAAGAGCCTTAGGATTCTTGGTGTGTTGTTTTAAGTAGAATTTTGAGGAAACTTAGGGATCTTAGTGCATAGTTTTTGAAAGAATCTTGGAGGTTCTTGTTGCGTAGTCTTTAAAAAATATAGAAGCACCTTAGGAGTCCCTAATATATTGTTTTTGGAGAATTTAAAGGAAGCTGGGGTGCCCCTGGTGCGTTATATTTTGAAGAATTTGGAAGAAACTTTGGGATCTCGAGTGTGTTGTTTTTTGAAGAATTGAAAAGAATTTTGGGACTTCCTGATGTGTTATCTTTTGAGAAATTTAAAAGAACCTTAGGAGTTCCCGATGCTTAATTTTTTTGAAGGACTGAGAAGAATCTTCGAGGTCCTTAGCTTGTCCTTTTTGAAAGAACGCGAAAGAATTTTGGAGGACTTTTGTGTTTTATTTTTGAACGAATTTAAAAGAGCCTTAGGATTCTTGGTGTGTTATCTTTAAAAGAATATAGAAGAACCTTAGGAGTCCGTAGTATATCGTTTTTAGAGAATTTAAAGGAACCTGGGGTGCCTCTGGTGCGTTATATTTTGAAGAATTTGGAAGAAACTTTGGGATCTCGAGTGTGTTGTTTTGTGAAGAATTTAAAAGAATTTTGGGACTTCCGGATGTGTTATCTTTTGAGAAATTTAAAAGAACCTTAGAAGTCTTTAGTATATCGTTTCTGAAGAATTTAAAAGAAGCTTGGGTGGCCCCAGGTGTGTTATTTTTTGAAGAATTTGAAAGAAACTTTGGACTCTCGAGTGTGTTGTTTTTTGAAGAATTTAAAAGAATTTTGGGACTTCTGAATGTGTTATCTTTTGAGAAATTTAAGAGAACCTTAGGAGTTCCCGGTGCTTTATTTTTTTGAAGAACTGAGAAGAATATTTGAAGTCCTTGGTGTGTCCATTTTGGAAGAGTATGAAACAATTTTTGAGGGCCTTGGTGTTTTATTTTTGAAGGAATTTAAAACAGCCTTGAGGATTCTTGCTGTATTGTTTTAAACAGAATTTCAAGGAACCGTAAGGATCTTAGTGTGTTGCTTTTGAAAGAATTTTGGGGATTCTTGGTGCGCTGTCTTTAAAAGAAAATAGAAGAACCTTAAGAGTCCCTAGTATAAATGGTTTTTGAAGAATTTAAAAGAACTTTGGGTGCCGTTGGTGTGTTCATTTTTGAAAAATTTGAAAGAAAATTTTGGATCTCGAATGCGTTGTTTTTTAAAAAATTTAAAAGAATTTTGGGGCTTCCGAATGTGTTATCTTTTGACAAATTTAAAAGAACCTTAGGAGTTCCCGATGCTTTATTTTTTGAAGGACTGAGAAGAATATTTGAAGTCCTTGGTGTGTCTTTTTTGAAAGAATACGAAACAATTTTAGTGTTTTATTTTTGAACGAATTTAAAAGAGTCTTGAGGAATCTTGCTGTATTGTTTTAAACAGAATTTCAAGAAACTTTAGGGATCTTAGTATATTCTTTTTGAAAGAATCTTGGGGATTCTTGATGTGTTGTCTTTAAAAGAATATAGAAGGACCTTAGATCATTAGTATATCGTTTTTGAAGAATTTAAAGGAACCTTGTGTGCCTCTGGTGTGTGTTGGTGGGGATATTCCTTCTGGTATGAGACACCCTAAGTAGTTTAACTTAAGCATACTTCAGATTACTATTAAATACACATTTTATCTGACAATTTTTGAGGTGACGTCATTAACGCTCTGCAGGGGAAAGTTAAATAAATTTTTGTCGTCGAGTTATAATATTAAACAATAAACTTCGAGGTGACGTCGTCACTTTTCTGGAGGAGATGGAAGACCTTTTCCAGATAATCATTAGTCAAATCCAGAAAAAATCAGGTTACTACGCAAAAATCTGGACAGTTTGGTTGTCAATCGAAATTAAGATGGGTTTCATAATTGTGACTTTGGCGTTGTTGTTGGGGTGCGGCTTAGGCTTTATGCTACGAGGTGCCAATTTTTGTGCACCTGGACCTGCTAAAGGTAAGTGCATTGTTTAACTCGGCACAAAAAAACGTAAATTGCTTACAGAGAAAGAACTTAAGAGACACCAGTCCTGATATTCGTCAATTATCTGTTTCCGGCTGCGTTTAAAGTTACTGGAGACTGCTACGTGTTTTGTTATCGCCAATGAATAAAATTATTGGAAATTAGTCCTGGTAAAACCTGAAGAATGACATTGATAAAATATAGTGACTTGTATATTTGGTTGCCTAACTTTTATTTTCAAAAATATTATGAGTTTAAGAAAATGATAAGAAATTTATTTTTGCCAAGTTGGAATGAAACATTTGAGGTAAAATTACATTGTATGTGCAATTAATTTAATTTAAACGTAACAAATGGGAAAATTACAGATTTCTACCTTCAGTTTTTACGACGACAATCAGTAAATTCAACCAAAATCATTCACATCTATACCTAACTATCTCTCTCGAAGAGTACGTCTTCTGTTACGTTTATTTTCCTTATAATATCTTTATTTTTGCCTTATTTCCACCCGAACTTCTCCATTTTCAATCCTCCCGCCCGCTACTTCGCACTTTTCCCGCCAGATGCCGCTCTCTCTAAACAGAGACACGTGACACGTCCTGCATCTCTCTCACTTCGGCGAACGAATTTCCATAAGCAAGTTAATACAGCCTGGGCAGGCGTGGTGATGGTAGTGTGTGTAAGTGCAATAAACACTCAGTGCATTTAACCGGAATACAAGACCTAACCGTACTATGAATGTAAGTACCCATCAGACCCATCTCCGGCTCGTACCCAGCCCTCCACAGCCAAAAACACGCCGAAAAACCGAGATCAATGACCATGGGTGGGTTTTACGGCACAGATTTTTCAACGTCTGCGACGCGCGCGACGCGGTCGTCTCTGTCTAGCGCGTTAGCGCGCCCGCCTCACCTGACGTGACGTACGTCGCGAAACTGTTGTTCTGTGGTGGGTTTGTCTCAGGACGTGTAATTATTGTGATGCAAGTCGTTTAAAATGCATTGTGGATGGGGTAATTGGAATTTGCGGTGCTGGGAGTGGGGGAGGAGCTGGCTAGGGCTTGATTATTTTTTGGGGTTATTTATGGGTTTTGTTTGGTTGGGTTGTGTAAACAATAAGGGATTGTTTAAACTTTGGATGGTTGGGGCGGTTTGTCTTCGTATTGCGTGAATTTAGGTTGTCGGAAAAAAATTGTTAGACGTAGTTGGCTTTGTCTTTGGAAGTGGTTGGATTTTTTAGGTGTTTTTTTAAAGAAATTAAAAAATTGTCCTTTGTTTTTGTTTATGTTCCAGTGCTTGCCTTCAAAGCGCTTTTACGTCTGTAATTTTGGTTTCCCTGGCAACGCTTTTTGTTAAATGAAAGGCGGCGTTGACTATTTTAAGCGACGAAAACGTTCTGAGCCAGAGTTAGCTTTGATTAACAATTGGCATCACTAGTTGTCAAATCAATTTACATATTCTTTCTGGATGAGGGATAACCATGTTTATTTTTTTATGCGAGATAAACTATTCAAAACGATTACGCGCGCCGTAGATTAGAGTTTAAAAATAGGTTGATCTTACCTAATTCACCAAACTTATGAACTTTTTTCTGGTGTAAATATTTACTCTTTTTGAAGGAATCTCGGTTCAATTACCGGATCGACGGGGAAAAAATTCAGTCGAAATAATAAAAATTCTGAAATGTCTACAACGACAATGTGATAAAAATGACAAATATTTCACATTGGAATGTTGGCTTAAATGAAAACGTGGAATTTAAAGGGGAAACGTCTACGTGATACAAAATTCCTGGCTGTGGGGTACAAAAAAGCGCCGAAAAAGCGACCTCAACAAGGTTTTACGGCACAAATTTTTCAGCGGGCGTGTTATCGGCGTAGTAAAAAAGTGTTGCGAAACGTTTTGAGGCAGAGTTGGCTGTTAATTGATTGATATTCAGCGATGAAATATTGTTGGCAGTCGGTGTGTGAGGTTGATGTTGGAGTTTATTTTTAATGTTTTTGGTTGCTTAAATTCTGAGTGAGGGGATTTACTAAATTATGTAGAGGGTTTAGGGGCGGCATTGACATTTTTTGTCTGTTTGCCGTTTGTCTGGATTTTTAATAGACGGATAATCTTCGAAACTATTGGACTGGTTGTTGTCAAATTTTGTATGTATACTAGGACTGTTATGTAGATGGCAAAACGCTAACCAAAATTTGGCTAACCTCCAAAATTTCTAACAGTAAATTTGTTTTTAATTTTATAAAATGAGATATTGCTGCACTTGTGGTGGGTGTATGAATCCGACATCCTAGACATCCAGATTTTTGGAACATCTCTTTAGTTTTTCAAGTTCTTGATTTCCAATTTTAGATTTTTCAAAGTTTTCATCTTATAATTTTCCGTTTTTTTAAAAAGTTGAAAAATTAAAAATGAAAAAATTACAAAATAAAAAAAAAAAAACTGAAAAAACGAAAAATTGCAAAATTGAAAAAGTGGAAAATTGAAAAATTGCAAATTTAAGAATTGAAGAAACGAAAAATCGAAACATTGAAAAACTAAAATTCGCAAAAATCATAGAATTATAGAATAGTCAACATTGTAAAGTCGAAAAACTGACATTGAAGGATTAAAAAATTAAGTGTCAAAAATCGAATAAATGAAAAAGTTTCAAAATTCAACAATAGGAAAATGGAAAAATTGTAAAATTGTACAAATGAAAATGTGAAAAATTTAAAAAATGATATTTGTCATTACATATTTAAAATGAAAACTAGGTAAATTGCAAACCAGAAATTGAAGAAGCGAAAAATTGAAAAACCGAAAATTGTAAAAACCAAATACATATAAAAAAATCTAAAAGTTGAGTAATCAAATAAACGAAAACCGAAAAATAGCAAATAGAAAAATTGAAAAAATAAAGAAAACAAAGAACCAAAACGAACATTGCTAATCGAAAATTTGAAGAAATGAAAAATTTTAAAATTAAAAATTGAAAACTCGAGAAATTTTAAATCGAAAAATTGCGAAATCGAAAAATTGGACAAACCAAAAACGAACCAAAAAATTATAAAATCGAAACATTAATCGAAAAAAAAAACGAAGAAAATAAAAAACGAAACGAAAAATTTCAAATCGGAAAATTGAAAAATCGAATAAATGAAAAAGTTTTAAAATTCAACAATAGAAAAGTGGAAAAATTGTAAAATTGTACAAATAAAAATGTGAAAAATTTTAAAAATTATAATTATCATTACATATTTAAAATGAAAATAAGGTAAATTGCAAATCAAAAATTGAAGAAGCGAAAAATTGAAAAATCGAAAATTCTAAAAACCAAAAATCAAAAAATCTAAAAGTTGAGTAATCAAAAAAAAAAATTAAAACCGAAAAATGGCAAATCGAAAAATTGAAAAAATAATGAAAACAAAGAACCAAAACGAAACTTTGCTAATCGAAAATTTGAAGAAATGAAAAATTTAGAAATTAAAAATTGAAAACTCGAGAAATTTTAAATCGAAAAATTGCAAATTCTAAAAATTGAAGAAACAAAAAATTATGAAATCGAAACATTAGTCGAGAAATAAATAAACAAAGAAAATAAAAAGCGAAACGAAAAATTTGAAATCGAAAAATTGAAAAATCGATTAAATAAAAGAGTTTTAAAATGCAACAACAGAAAAATGGAAAAATTGTAAAATTGTACAAATTAAAATGTGAAAAATCTTAAAAATTATATTTATCATTACATATTTAAAATGAAAACTAGGTAAATTGCAAATCAAAAATTGAAGAAGCCAAAAATTGAGAAATCGAAAATTGGAAAAACCAAAAATAAAAAAATCTAAAAGTTGAGTAACCAAAAAGATTAAAACCGAAAAATGGCAAATCGAAAAATTGAAAAAATAAAGAAAACAAAGAACCTAAACGAAACATTGCTAATCGAAAATTTGAAGAAATGAAAAATTCAAAAATTAAAAATTGAAAACTCGAGAAATTTTAAATCGAAAAATTGCGAAATCTAAAAATTGAAGAAACAAAAAACGAAACGAAAAATTATGAAATCGAAACATTAATCGAAATATAAAAAAACGAATAAAATAAAAAACGAGACGAAAAATTTCAAATCGGAGAATTGAAAAACTGAATAAATAAAAAAGTTTTAAAATTCGACAATAGAAAAATGGAAAAATTGTAAAATTGTACAAATAAAAATGTGAACAATTTTAGAAACTATAATTATTTACATATTTAAAATGAAAACTAGAAAAATTGGAAATCAAAAATTGAAGAAGCGAAAAATTGAAAAATCGCAAATTGAAAAAGCCAAAAATTTAAAAATCTGAAAGTTGCGTAATCAAGAAAATGAAAACCGAAAAATGGCAAATCGAAAAATTAAAAATTTGACTTTAAAAAAAAAAATCAACTTTGGAAAACCGAAAAATTGAAAAAACAGAAAATGAAGAACCAAAACGAAAAACATCAAATCGAAAAACTGAAAAATCGAATGAATGAAAATGTTTTAAAATCTAATAATTGCAAAGTAGAAAAATTCTAAAATTGTACAATTAAAAAAGTGAAAAATTTAAAAACCTATAATTATTATTACATATTTAAAATGAACAGTAGAAAAATTGGAAGTCAAAAAGTTAAAAAGCTAAAAATTGAAAAATCGAAAATTGGAAAAACTAAAAATAAAAAAATCTAAAAATTGAGTAATGAAAAAAATTAAAACCGAAAAATGGCAAATAGAAAAATTGAAAAAATAAAGACAATAAAGAACCAAAACGAAACATTGCTAATAGAAAATTTGAAGAAATGAAAAATTCAAAAATTAAAAATTGAAAACTCTAGAACTTTTAAATCGAAAAATTGCGAAATCTAAAAATTGAATAAATAAATAAATAAATAAATATGATTTATTTGCCCAACAGAAATAATTCCATTTACAGGACAAATCAATTAGGTACACCTCTTAATCTGTAACACATCACAATAAAGAAAAATATAAATTCTTTGAATACATCCCAAAGCTACACTTCACAAATGTATAATTACCCAATAAAATTATATTAACCTAATTTTAACTCAAATATTAAACGTTTCATCCTGCGTAAACTACAACAAAAAATATCAATTCTATCTCTACTCTCTAACATATTTAAATAAGAATTCATAACATACAAAGGCGCTTTCCTTCCAATATTAGTGCGCGGACATCTGTTGTAAAGAGTTACTGCATATCTAGAATTAATCCTGGGCACATAAAAATGTAATTTTTCCAATAGCTCACTACAGTCTATAACATTGTTTAACAATTTGTGTAAAAATAAGAGTGCACTACAAATACGCCTGCAATGTAGAGTACTAAAATTGAATTTAGCTAGTAGAGTGATGTGAGGATAATTCCTTTCCGGCCATCTTCTTTCCTCTTTGTAGTATAGATGTTTAAGAAACCTACGCTGCGTATTTTCGAGTATTAAAATTTGCCTGTTATAATAAGGAAACCAGCACACTGCACAATATTCCAGCTTAGATCTAACTAATGCGTTGTAAAGTGTAATCAGTGCCACAGTATTAAAGTCCTTGCAATTCCTAAGTATAAATCCAATGGTTTTACTCGCTGTAGAAGCGATAGTGTGCACATGTTCATTGAAATTAAGTTTAGAGTCATAGAGCACCCCAAGGTCATAAATCGTAGAAGATCTGTGAACAGCATTACCATCAATGTTATAATTGTGGAGCAAGATTTCATCACA